CAGGGAGGAGCTGGGCGGCTCCTGTTCCAGGGAGCAAGGCCTCGCCTGCCCGCGTGCGCCCCCTGGTGGCGATGTGAAGGAAGGGCAGGCAGTGGTCACAACCCGTGGAAACCACCCCCCCACAGTTGGATTTACCTTCTGCCCGCGTTAAGAACAGAACCCCCACCCCGCTGGCAGTGTTTACCAGGGATCCCCCGATGTGTCAGGGCCTACCGCTTGGGGTGCCTGAGGAGCCTGTCCACACTGTGGGTGTCTGGGGCCAGCATGGGTGCAGGCACCTGGAGGGAGTGCCAGGTGTCCCCTCGGCCCAGTCTCAGGCTGGCGCCTCCATCCTGGCTTTGTAAGCATCCTTAAGTGGACCCCCTGTGACCACCAGGCTGGTCCCTCTGAGAGCACAGTTCTGCTCAGAGACTCCCCCGGGCCAGGTGGCCCCAGGATGTCAGCAAGGCCGTAGGAGCCCCCCCTTCATNCCCTGCTCGGAGACTCCCCCAGGCCAGGTGGCCCCAGGATGTCAGCAAGGCCGTAGGAGCCCCCCCTTCATGAGCACATGGCTTGACCCCACTTGGGCCCCCACTGCTTCCAGGTGGCCCCACCCCCATCCTATCCTGTGGTTTCTGGCCCCTGGCCCCAGACCGGCCTCCCCTTATGGTCCCAGCGTGCCTGAGACCACAGCCACACNTGAGCATATGGCTTGACCCCACTTGGGCCCCCACTGCTTCCAGGTGGCCCCACCCCCATCCTATCCTGTGGTTTCTGGCCCCTGGCCCCAGACCGGCCTCCCCTTATGGTCCCAGCGTGCCTGAGACCACAGCCACACAGATAGGCTTATACTCAGAGCTCTCACACCACACGGGAAAGCCCAGCCTGCTCCTGGCCACACGTGTGACCGATGGGCTCCCTGTGGATGGACACACAGCCCTGGTGACAGCTGGGTCAGGGCTGCCGGCTCTCACCGCACCCCTGGACTGCAGAGGAGGGGTGACACCATCTGGCTCTGACTGAAAAATTCTGCTACACTGGCCAGTGTGGCTTTATCCTGCACTGTCCTGTCACCTGGACCCCTGGGCTGGGCCTTCCCTGTCCATCCCCCTCCTGGGCTGAGCCAGGCGAGGGGAAAATAGGAACTCACACCAAGCTCAGGGCAGCTTCCCAGGTGGGCAGGGCCGTGAGAGGCGCTGGACCTGGGGACCCTGCCCGCCCCAGAGGGTGCAGGAGCTGGGATGTGCGCCCCCAGCTGCAGTGGGCCTGGAGTGGGGCCCTCCAGAGGCAGCTGCAGCATCCACGGCAGGAGGAAGGGCAGGCAGACTTTGGTGACTAAAGCTCTCCGCCCCACGGATGCCCCGGCACCAGGAACACCCCTCACCCTGACAACCGGGGGATGGACCCAAAATTGAAGAAGTATGTTTCCACCATCACTCAGGAGGACGTGGGCTCACGATGGGTGTACCTGATGGGTGTAGCTACAGAAGGTGAAGTGCTGTTTCCTGCCCCTGAACTGAGAGCTGAGAGTCCTGCCTGTTACGAGAAGGGGCACCTGGATTCATGGAGACATCAACAGCGAATCCCCATGAGGCATCTGCCCAGGTCACGGGCCCCCTGGCCCAGGTCTGAGGTTACCTGTCGCTCCCGTTCCAGGCGCATTCGAACTTGTCGAAGATGCAGTCGTTCTCGTACAAGGAACAGAGCTTGCTGCGAAGGTAATCGTGCACCTGGCGCGAGAAGGGGACCGGGTGAGTCCAGGGGGCACCTGCCAGTCCTGCACACCCCCCGCCCCCGCGGGGAGAGTCTCACTGAACAGTGAGGGGCTGTGCCCTCTGGGTCTGGTGGCATCCTGAGTCAGCCCTGCTCACCAGGAAGGGCCCACAGCCTGGCACATGGCCAACCCCTGAGCTGTGGCCAGAGGGGACAGTCACAGTGACAGAAGGGACCAAATCCTGGCTCTACCCCACTTGGGGCCCCACTGCTTCCAGCTGTGCGATCCTGGACAAGTGGCTTCACCTCTCTGAGCCTTGCTTCCTTCATCCTTAAAGGGATAAGAGTGCATTCCTCAGGGGCAGTTCTGGGCCTGGTGTAGGCCGCGCCCTCTGAGGATAAGTCACGTGCCCACGGTGGTGCCCATCATGGAGAAAAGGGGCAGGCGAACCACCCTGCTCCAAGCACCATCCCAGCAAATGCCTCCTGCTGCTCCCCCAGCCCCAGTCTGTCTCCACAGGCAGCCAGGGGGGACCCTGTGAAACGAAACTGGATCATGTCACACTTCTGCTGAAAACCCTCCACTCCCCAGTCTCCCTGGGCTCTACCCCATCACCGGGAAGGGCAAAGCTTGCCGTCTTAATGGCAGAACCGCAGGCGCTGACTCCTGGGGAGGGATGCCCTCGTCTGCACCTTAATCATTTGCACCCTCAAACTGAGCCCAGCCTGATGGTCATCTTGCTGCCCTGGGCCCCAGCCCGCAAGCCAGTCACAGCCCTGCCTCAGGGCAGGAGCCGGCAGGCAGAGGACACCCAGCTCCCCATGAGGCCGGCTGGGCAGGTCCTCCTCCTGTGTCCGAGCTCTATCTGCTTGATTTCCCGAGCCTCAGCGTCTCCAACTACAAAATGGGTGCATGAAAGCCCCCCCATGAGCAGGAAAGCCCCTCCATGGGAGTTCTCAGCACAGGGAAGGGTGGCTGGGGGCCTCCCACCAGCAGAGGGGCTCCAAGGTTGTCCAACCCACAGCCCACCTGGTAGGTCTCGATGGGCCTCGCCTCCATGTTCAGGTCCCAGACCTTGACCGTGAGATAATCCCGGGTGAGCATGTACCGGCCGCTGTGGCTGAACTTCACGTCGGACACGGAGGAGATGATTTCTGAGAAGAAGGAGCGGTTACTGGGGTCCTCAGGTTCCTCAAAGACTGCAGAGACAAAAAAAATAAAAAATGCCATCACTGGCTGCTCCTGCCCACAGCCTCAGAATGACACGTGGCTCCGTTTCCACCCCGTGTGCTTGCTGTGTGGTCATTCAGTCATTCATCAAACCTGTAACAAATACCTGTCAGGCATCAGCCCAGACCGGATCCTGCAAAGAGGGAAGAACCAGCGACGTTCACTGAGCAGTGACTGAGCCAGAGTCCGTGCTGAGCCCTTTCTCCGCATTACTGCATCTAATTAACCCCCAATTAAAGTAGCATTTTTATTCCCACTTTATAGCCAAGGAAATCAAGGCACAGATGGCTGAAAACCTTGCCGGAGGTCTTGGCGCTGGGAGAAAGGGCGGAGTCGCCTTCTGAGCGGAGCTGCACCGCTACCGCCTCCTGGTGGTGACGCTGAGCGCCAGGACCACGAGGTGTCCCGAGATCTTCCAAAGTGCTGGACCACGTCCGTCCCGGTGGGTCACCTTCCGCCTCTCAAACCTCTGAATTCTGACTGGTCATCTCACAAGGTCATATTTTGTGCCCCAGTAATAATAATAATTACACTGGTGTCTATTTCTGCAGTTATGAACATCTGTAATTTTCCTTTGATTAGCCAGAAGGGATCAACGGCATGTCCCTTTCCCCTCAGAAGCCTGGAGTAAAGAAAAACACCATTTCTTACTTTAATGAAACAAACAGGCGTATAGATCTAATATTTGGAAGGAAGCGGGCAGAGAGTTTGAGAGAAGAGGGACCCCAAACTCTCAGCAGGGCCCCAGGCGGCCCCAGCGGGCCCCAGGTACGCTCGGGAAGGAACGGCTCTGGGCTGAGCTCACAGGGCTGCCGCTGGGGGTCGGAACGGAGGTGAGTTATAAACACAGAAAGCGGGGTGTGTCTCTTGCACCCCAGCTGTGAGGGGGTCTCTGGAACCCCCGCGCCCTCCTCGGTGGTTTCCTCTGGCCAGCCCCCACGTAAAGCACTCGGGCCGGTCCCGCTTACTTCCCCCCACACCCTTGCGGGGTGAGGCGGCCGATGGGGACCAAGTCGCAGCAGGGGCTGTACCCACGCTGGATGTCACAGGGCCACCGGCTGCGTCTCCTGCCAGCTTCAAGGCTCAGGAAACCACGAAGGTGAAGGGTCAGTGGGAAGGTGTAATCCACAGTCGGAAACACGCCCCAAACGGGCCCTGTAACCTCAGTTCCAGCTGAACTTGGTGCCTGCGACGGGCTTTTAAATACAAGGGGTCAGAACTGCCAAAGGTTAATGGGAAGGGATTTTAACAAGCCTGAAAAGATTTATACTAAAAGTTTTCATTTTTCTTTTTAAACATTTCTATGACATTTCTCATACAATAATTTTTTTTTATCGAGGGACAGCAGAGCCTGCTAAGTCTGTTCCGCATTAGCCCCAGCCCACCCCTCCCCACCTCAGCACCACTTCGTCTCCCAGGGCATCAGTAAGAGATACGGGGGTCTCCCCTCTAATTGATGGAACCACTAAGGACATTTCACGGTAATTATTGCTGCCAAGAGTTTAAAAGAACCATCAGAGCCCCTGTCGCTTGTGATGGGCTCAGTTCTCCTTCTCTCCCTGCCCCGATTACTTTGAAGTTGGAGGGCCCTGAATCAGCAGAAATCGCCTTCCTATTTTTTTTTTAAATATTTTTTTCATTGATTTCAGATTGAGGAAGGGAGAGGGCATTGATCGGCTGCCTCCTGCATGCCCCCTACTGGGGATCGAGCCCAAAATCCGGGCATGTGCCCGATGGGAAATCGAACGGTGACCTCCTGGATCCTAGGTCGATTCTCAACCGCTGAGCCACACCAGCTGCGCTTGATCCCGTTTCTCTTTAGTGATGTTGCATAATTAAGGCTCTCTTGGCCCTCGCTGGTCCCCTGATGCCCTTTGGGTGTCTCGTGGTGTCACTATTGTCACACAGGGGACGGGTGAGAAGCACACACCCCTAATAGCCACAGTGAAGTGAAGGGGCTGGGGACCCTGCCCAGGCTCCGAAGCACCTGTGTATCTACAGAAGCAAAGGCAAAGCCCAAGGCCGGTGCTATTGCCCCTCTCCTGCCCACGCACAACTGGCCGGCGTCCCTCTGCCTAAAACCCTGCATGGCTCCCAGCACCCACAGGATCAAGGTTCAAGCTCCATGTGGCTGACAAGCTCCTTCACAACCAGGTCCCCCGGGCTTACTGCTCCAGCCTCACATAAACACAGCCAACCTCTGGCAGCCATGCTCAACCTCTTCCCAGCCAGGGCCCCAGAAACTCCAACGGGAGGCAAGCAAGGCCCTTGGGGTACCGCGATGGACACCTCGCTCTCAGGGTCACCTTAAATGAATGCCGCCTGCAATGACCCCTCGCCCTGCCGCGTGCCAGGCAGCAGAGCAGCTCTGTGTGACCCCTGGCAAGCCCTCTAACCTCTCTGAGCACCAGTTCCCTCACCTGGCGAACAGCGCAACACGGCCTCCGGAGGTGATACCTGGAAGCCCCCGCCCTGTGCAGGACTGGGATCAGCTGCTTAATAAAACTGCGTAACTATTTTTATTTTTTTTTCATATGTTTTCTCTCCCTGAAATTTCCTTTCCCATTTTCAGCCGAGTCTTTCCTACCAACTCCTATACATCCTTCTGAACCTCAAGTGCCCAGCTCTCTGTGCATCTTGTCCAGATGCCCCAAAGAAATCAAACGCTCTCCCCTGTTGACCACATAGCCCCAGGGTGCCCTCTTGTATGGCACCAGCAGGGGCGCATGGTCACCTCCAGGGGCTGTGAGCTTTGGGACAGGAGTCCCTCTGTCATCAGTCATAGTGGCATCCACGTAGCCTGGAGCTGGGCTCAGAGCCCCAGCGCTGCTCACAGGGCAGATAGAACCTCCGGGTGCTGCCTGCGGACGCCCCTTCTTCTCTGTGCCTTTCCTGTCATGTTTCACCCCAACAGTCATTTTTTTTTAATTAAAAATGCCTCTTCGATGGGCCCACTGTGAGCACAGAGGTTCTCCTGAGATGGAAACGGGGAGTCCGGAGGCGGGAGAAGAGATGGGGCGATACAGGCGGAGGTTCGGGTGCTGAACTTTGAGGATGGAGGAGGCCCGGCGGCCTCTAGAAACTTCCAGAAGCAACACAGCCCTGACAACACCTGGATTTTGGACGGCTGAGCTCCAGTTGTAAAAGAAGGTGTCTGTGTTGTTTTAAGACACCAAGTGTGTGGCACTGTTACAACCGCCCCAGGAGGCGAGGGCGCCCAGGAAGCCGCCGTCGAGGGGGCGCTCGGAGGACTGAGCCGTGAGCTCCGCACGCCCCCGGAGAGCAGCGAGCGCTCGACACGCCTGAGCCGCACCTGCGGGGCCGCGCACGGGGCCACCGGGGCGGCGGTCGTCACCACCTCCTGTTCTAGGAAGCCTCCCCGCTCGGGCACAGCCCTTCCTCCTGGCAGACGCCAAGCTGTTAGGAGCAGAAATAGCTGTCTATTTCGAGGACCCATGTACAGCCGTTCCCATGGTTACGCTGTCATCACGACCAGCAGACAAAAGAGCGATTTCGCTGCTCTGGAGAAAGACGGGACGTTGCGGGCGCTCGGCAGCCATCCCGGCCCCCAGCTCGGCCCTGCCGGGGCCTGGGGAGGCCGCTGCTCTGTCCCGGGCCTCGGGTTCCTCATCCGACCCGGCAGACACGGACCCACTGAGGCCCGGGCGCCCTTCCCTCCGGACCCGGCTCACCTGCTGGAGAGTGACCCCCGGCAAAGCTGCCGGCTCCCCGCCTCCGCCAGCCCGCCCTGGGGGGCACCCTGGGGAGCACCCTGTCCTCCCCCCTGAACCTGCAGGGGCCCCTCCCGCTCCCCTGGCCCTCGCTGACCCCTCTGCCCTCTCTTCTCAGACACGCGTCTCACGACCACACACCTTGCTCTCGACCCTCTGCTGGTCGCGCGGCCTTTAGAAGAGCCCGGGGGGGCGGGCACTTACGTTTGGAGTGCTTGTCGCACAGGGCGGCCGCCCGCATGTCGCAGAGGCGCAGGGAGCCCTTGCTGCTGCTGTAGACGAAGAGGTTGCAGTGGTGCGGGTGGAACTCGGAGGCGGTGATCACCTCCGTGAGGTCCTCCATGTTGGCCGGCTTGATGTCCACGATGTCTGGCTGGTCAAGGAAGGCGCCTGGCTGCTCGGCCTCCCCGGCTCCGACACCCTCGGCCTGCCCACCCCTCCGAGCCCCCCTCCGGTCCCCAGGCTCCTGACCAGACACCCGCCTCAGAGAGTCCCCGAGCTGCAGACCCCTGTGTCATACTGACCACTGGCTGCCCCTTCCGGGTGCCTGTCCATTGTCCCCAGAAGGCTGGACTTCCCACCTCCCTCCTGACCTGTGCCCTCTCCCCAGCAGTGCCCATCAGCTGCCCAGCCCAAGGGCAGGGCTCCTCCTGAGGCGCCCCCTCCACCCAGTTCCCCATCAGGAAGCAGGCAGAAGGCCAGAGCATTGACAAAGAGCCTACTGCGTGCTGTGCGCTCCTGGTGGGCAGTTTCCACCCTCCCCTCACCCTGTGAATGGCACCTGGGCTGAGGGTGCCGCACCCGTTGGCTCCCCTCTGCCCACACCAGCAGCCTCTCCTCTGCTTTCTGGGTTTCGGGCCCTGGCCTGTGCCTTCCATCCCCCACTCGCAACCACGAGGAATGAGCCTACGGTGTCGCGGTGGCCACGGAGAGACCCAGGACCTGGGGTGCAGGGAACGCTGGGGAGCCGCTCCGTCCCCTCTGCTGGGTGGGTGAGGTGGGGTGAAGGGGCCTGTACCTGCTGCCCTGACAAAGGGAAGCCCTGGAGCCTGAGCGCAGGGCAGCCAGCAGGGAGGCTGGCGCACAGAGATCCGACTCCTGGAGCAGGCCGCACCTGAAGCCACGCCCCCTGCGCCGTCAAATACGGGAGCCGTGAAATCCATTTTCTGCTTAGGAACAAGGATTTTGTTGCCTGCAGAGGAAGAAGTATCCCTGACAGACACAGAGAGGGTAAGCAGCTTGTCCAGGGCGGCCCAGCAGCACGTGGTGAGGCTGGATGGCTGTCCACTCCCTGTTGCTACCGCAAATCATAACCCCAGTGTGGTGTTCAAGGCTCGGCATCCACCAGCCTCTTTACCTGCTTTTCTGGCTTCAGATGCTACTAGTCGGACGGCCCTACAGGCACTTTCCCACCTGACAGTGACGCCCTTGATCTCTGGTCTTCCCGGCCCTGCCCGGGGCTCTGCCCAGCCGGTTCCACGTAAGAGAGGCCCCCCCTCCGCACGTGCACATGCCCAGGGGTCAGAGTCTGCAGCCTGAGCCCGGCGTGGCCGGCTCCTGCTGTGTGACCCAGGATGAGTTCCCCGCTTCCCCACGCTTCCGCATCTGTAAAATGGGCTAATAGCTCTAACCTCGGCTTCACTGTGAAGATGAGAAGAGGCAGGGCCCCTGGCGCACTGCCGGGCGCATCTCAGAGCCCAGAGCCCGTCGTCGCCGGTATGACATTCACGGCCCGGAAACCCTGGGACCCAGCTCCTGCCAGCCCCTCCTCCTCCCACCCCAGGCCGCTTTCTCCCCAGTAGAAAGGGGCGTTTCTGTAAACACGAGAGTTTATAAAATATCAGAAAAGACGCTGAATCTGCGATCAGAGGCGCCGAGGAGGGGTCTGTGCTCACGTTAAATCCTGCTCCCCCGAAGCACAGTGCTAACCAGAAACCTAGAATCACAGGAGCTGCATCGCCGGTGCCTGAGCGGTTTCCCTGGAAACTGCGGTTCTCTGCACGATACGGAGCAGAGATTAAATCACGAAAAATGAGCTGAAGGCTGAATGAGAGCGAGCCAAGATGTCTGTGGCGCTCGTTCCATCGGCACCAGCCCTGCCCCCCGACAGCCCAGCGCCCAGGTTCTCACAGCCCGGGCAGTGGGGGCCCCTCCTGCCAGGGACTCCGCCCTGGCTGGTGTGGCTCTGCGGTCAGAGTGTCAGCCCGAGCACCAAAGGGTCAGGGGTTCGATTCCTGGTCAAGGGCACGTATCTGGGTTTCAGGCTCGATCCCCAGCAGGGGGCATGCGTGGGAGGCAACGAATCCATGTGTCTCTCTCACATCAATGTTCCCCCTCCCTCTTTCTCTCTCTCCCCCCTCCCTTCCACTCTCTCTAAAAAATCAAGGGGAAAAATACCCTCCAGTGAGGATTAACAAGGGGGGGGTTCTGGGTGCAGTGGGTGCCAGGGAAAGGCAGGTGTGACACACAGAGCCTTCGCTTCCACATGACCCTGGAGGAGGGAGACAAAACCATGTCACGGTCAATGTGTGTCCCTGAATCCCTAGATCCGGAGCCACGCCTGGCAGCCCTGGGGCCGCACAGCACCCTTCAGGACCTGGCCACCTATCCAGGCAGCTCCGGGACCCCTGGCTCAGCCGCCGAGGACCTGCCTGCCTGCTGCCCAGTTCCTCCGGGTGTGAGAGGAACTGGTAACTGAGTGGGGCTGTCCCTGTGGAGCCCCCTCGGTCATATCACAGAGTAGAGGCCTGAAGATGCCTCCCGACAAGGGACGTAGTGAGAAGGAGCCTCTGTCGGTAACACAATTATATCCCCAACTGACACTGCAAACACCCCTCCCAGACTCACATCTGCGGGGCCACGTGCCTGGGAGCTCTGAGGCACACGGTCCAACGCTGACCGTGAGCAGCAGCTTTGACTTCGGCTGTGACTGATGCTGGGGCGAAAGTCAGGGGTTCTGGCCCAGGCATCCGGTCGTTGCTCCCTCTGAGATGTTCAGTGACACGTGCAAAAGCCGTTTCCATCCTGCAAGCCTGTCTCCCCCACTTGAAAAATGAGGGGTCGGGCGTGACCCCAGAGTGCCCTTTCCCTTCCAGGATTCGCCCCCAGGGGGCCTCTCCTTGGTTCAGGACCAGCTGCAAGCACCCACCTGCAGCCGGGCCCACCTGCGGATCGTGCTCTGCAAGGTTCACGGCAGGACCCACCTCCCTGAGGAAGCAGCGTAATTACACTGCCTTGCGAGCCCCTCCCCTGGCAAAGCTGGATGAATTATTCATGCTCTACTTTCCCATCTAATTACTCCAACTGTCTTTTGTGAAACTTCCAATCGCACTTTGGCAGCCAGGAGTGATTTTCCCTGCGAGGGAAGTTTGGCAGCCAGAGGAGCGGTCACGCAGGGGTGAAAACGGGAGAAGGCAAAGTCACTCCAGCCCCACACCCTCCGCTGAGCACAAGGTATCTCTCTCTAGCACAGTGGGCCGAGTGGTGCCCCCCAAAGGACATGCCCACCTCCTAGAGACTGTGAACGCAGCTTTATTTAGAAAATGACCTTGTTAATATAACCATGTTAAGGACCCCAAGATGAGAGCATCCTGGATTCGGGTGGGCCCTGAGTCCAATGACAAGAGTCCTTACAAGAGACACCCAGAGGATAAGACACATGACAGCCGAGGCAGAGACTGGGGTGACACAGCCACAAGGGATGCCTGGGCCACCAGGAGCTGGAGGAGGCGGGGAGGACCCTCCCCGGAGCCCCCAGAGGGAGCACAGCCCCGCCTGTACCTTCATCTCAAACTTCTGGCCTCGAGGCCCGGGAGGGAACAATTTTCTGTTGTTTTAAGCCCCTAGTTTGTAGAAATTTCTTGTGAGGACCACGGGAAACTCCACCCCCAGGTTGCCTCCCAGGAGCTGGGGATAATGCCATGGGCACAATGCCAGTACCATGGACATCTCTCTCCTCACCCATCCAGGCCGCCTCTTTCACTTGAATTGTCTTAGCAGCCAAGCCCGCGTCCAACAGCCTCCGTCGGGGGCTCCTCGCCTGCAGACCCCTGCCTCTGGCCGTCCTCCCAGCCTCGGCCCCAGTGACCTCCCTGGGCGCCCAGTGCCCTGCTTGGTGGCCTCCTCGCTGTCCACAGAGAACTCCAACACCTTGCTGGGCCTAAAAGACCCCTCACGATCGCCTGACCACGGCTCGGGCCGCACCTTGCCATGCTCGGAAACGGGGGTTTGTGCTACCTCAGAAGGAAGTCTGACTCCTGCCAAGGACACAGGAAGGGAAGGAGCGGAACCCAAGCAGGGCTCCTGCCGAGTCATCAGGTTCGCAGAGATTTTTATAGAAACTCCTTCGCCTTCTACCGCCAAGGGCATCGCCTGATGCCCCGAAGCCGGCTGCAGTCACACCAGCCCTGCGCACCGTCGCGGCCCTTAGTCCCGGAGCTGCGTGGGTCCCGCGTGGAGGGCCCGTGAAACGTCAGAGGGGAGGTCACTGGGCTCCCAGTGGCCCTGCTCCACTGAGCGGAACCTCTGTGAGCCTCGGTCCCCCTCACTGCACGGGGCACAGGTACAAACGGCCATCACTCATCCACTGGGCAAATTTCTACTGACCACGAAACTGTCGAGCACGTGAACCGAGTAAACGTGGCTGGTTCGTTCTGCGAGGAGCTCAAGTGAGGCCTGAGTGGGGAGCAGCCCATAAACTCCGGGGAGCACACAAATAGTAACCGACGTCAAGAGGGGCTTTAGTGGTGATGCAAGAGATGGCTCTGCAGACACCACAACTATCCAAGCGAGGGGACGCGTCAAAGCCCCGGAGCTGGTGAGGGCAGTGCCCCTGCAGAAAGGGACCCCGTCTTACCCCGTGAAGGACGGGCCCGGGCACACGGAGGTGGCAGAGCAGACAGTCCGGCTCCCTGGCTTCCAGCCCGTGCTCCTCCCTCTCCCCTCTGACTGGGAGCAGCTGCATCTCCACAGGACACGCAGCTCCCGATGGGGTCAGCACCCCCAAGGGCACGACTGCTGGGCCTGCTGGACGGAGCACCCCGAGAGCGGGCGGGGCTCAGGGATGAGAAGGACGTGGCCTTGGGCTCCATCGCTGTGACTGAGCGAAGCCGGCTTCACCCTGATGTCTCGGCAGGAACACGCTCTCAGGAAGGGAGCGGCTGTTACCACGGTGACGGCCGCGGAGGCCCGAGGACGGATGCAGCGCTGCCGCGGGCCACGAGGGGCCTCCCACACAGGCCGCCGGGGACGCCGGGTGCGCAGGTGCCCTGGCAGGCCTCCCACGCACGGAGGCGGCCTCGCTGGGGCACAGCCAGCAAGGCGGCTTTTCTCCCAGCAAATTCTCTGCAGAAGATGACCCGGCTACAAGC